AACGAGAACAATAATGAATCATGCTAGAGAGCTATGGTACACTGAGCCTTCTGCACTGTCTCTCATGGAATTCTCACAGCAACCTGTGAGCTCACCATCCAGATGAGGAAGCCGAGGCTTAGAAGGGCAAGGTGACTTTCACAAATCTACCACCGGTACGTGGCAGAGCCCAAGTCGGAAACTAGCCCCGTCTGATGCCAGGCCCAGAGAACCCTTTGCCAAAATGAGATGATGCCCTCTAAAGCCACCTGAGCGCTGTCTTCCTTTGAAAGAACCCTCCGAATTCCAGACCTGATGTGCCACAAGACCACAATCACTCTAACTGCCTCTTAAGAGTGCTTGGGTCAGCGTTGGGGAGGCTGGAATTACTCTCTGAAGCCCCCAGAGGTATTTTCAGACACATTTAAGTATCAAACTAGCAGAAGCAAACTGGTTTAGTGGAGGAGGCACAGGCCACACACCCCAGCCTGTCTCCTAGGAACCGTGTAACCTCAGGATGTTTGCTCTGCTCTCGAGCCTCAGGACAGCATGGGTCAAAATAACTGCCTCAGAGCTGGTATTGGCGAAGGGGCCAGCACAATGCTGTAAGTTAATTACCTTCCCCCTGAAACTGTTCTATTCAATACCTTGTTCTAGGGAAAGGCAGCTCGTTATAATGCCTTCCATACAGAGAATGAATGAATGAATGAATGAATGAATGAATACTGATCACTACTTTAGTGAGAATACGAAGTCTAAAAATGGTGCAAAACAATTTTCAAAACATTACAGCAATCCATTTATATGTGCATATATTAAGCGAAGTATCTTTCTGAACACATCTGGATTCCTTTATATCTCCTCTTTCTCTCTCTCTCTCTCTCTCCCCCTATCTGCACCCCAATGCCTTTCTCTCTCTCCCTCTCTCTCTCTCTACACACACACACACACATACACACACACACACACGAATTGAATCCTGATGCGGTGTTATCTCTCATTCTCAAACATGTGCCTAACACTTGTTCAGATAATAGATACCTATTCTCTAGCCAGTTAATTTGAACAATAAAAAGCATGAGGATTTTATAGAGATAAGGCACCCAAGAGAATGGAAGGCGCTGGTAGCTACTTGTTTAGTGATGGAAGACTTTTGTGATTAAGAAGCAGAAGACAGCAGACAAAGTCTCCTCTGTTTTCAACACTTGCTCGGCTCCAAGATAGGGGGAGGCCCGCTTCCTGTAACACCAAATTTCACGTTGCTTTTTATGAGCAGAGGGTCCATTTCTACATTGCACCTCTGGATTTAAAAGAGGAAATTTAAACCTCGGAATAATGTTTTTTGCTGAACAAAATGTCTGCCAAACTAAGCTCTGACTGACTTCTGGTTTTCAAAGTCCCGGCCTCCAAAGTTTTCTCAGGTTTCCAGTCCTGGGCCGAACTCACTGGCTCTGCCATCTCCCCCTCGGCTCCAGGTAGGGAAAAGGAGTGACAAGTCAGAGGGACACCCCCGGGTCTGCTTGGGGGCTTTGGGGATGCCCCGCAGAACCAGACGATTGCTTTAGACGCATTATCTGGGCGTGGCTGGCTCCTATCAGCTCTACCTCGAGAAAAGCACCGAAGTGTTTCCCTAGGCATTATGGGAAAAATAATTCTAGCAAGAAGGGGCAAAAAAAATCACACAAAAGAGCATTAAGTCTGCGCCTTCTTTCCTTAGCCCCTTAAAAGACCACTTCGTAAGGCAGTGAAAAGCCATGTTTTGCTTTGTAACTAAACAATGGAACACTTTGCATCCTGAACATAAGCCACCTAGCCCGGTTCCCCAGATTTCAGGCCAGTGACCCAACTTCTCACCTTCCCCCTTGAACAGAGGAACCAAGCTTTTTGTCCCACACGCTTTAAAACGATATCCATCACCAGCGAACAAACAGGTTATTCTTGGACCACGACCGGTCCTGGCAAGAGGCTCGGGTCTACGCAGGCGACGGTAGACGAGAGGAAGAGGATTCGGTTCTGCCTATGGTGGCCGCGGCCGCCGCTGTCATCCCCCGAATTCCCACAGAAATGAGCTCATTCCGCCTTTGAAACCTTTCAGAGCTTACAAGTTTAAATCAGGCCAAGTTGAGTTTGTGGGGTTTTTCAAGCTTTTACACTGTAATTATATGCAGGACCTCATGCCACCTACTTCCTCCCAACTGTAACATTTTACGTCTTTTTTAAGCACACGTTGAGGTTAGCTTTTTTTTTTTAATACATGTTATGAAATAAGATATGAGCTTATGCTCAGCCTTAGGCACCTTTCTGCCAAAAGGCTGGACCAACACAAACTAAATATGACTATTTTCTTTATCCGAAGCACAGTTTTGACTATTACATACCCTCTTAATGGACATACATAAAACTAGCTCACAACCAAAGCTCCCTACAGGTCAACTGAAATCGTAATGAGATTTTCCTTTCATATAATGTGATTAACAAATGTTAGCTAAGCGAACTCCTACGAGACTCAAAAGAAAAAAACCAAAATAACTCAAAGCAACGCCAAATAGTAAAATAAGTCGACGATCTTTCGCTTTTCTTCTTGCCTTTTCCCATGGTAACTCAGCAAAGAGCCTGTTTCACTTGATTACAGGCATGGGCTCTAGAAGCAGACGAAACCAAGAATGAGCTCCAGCTCCGATATTTACTACAACGTGCCTTCGCAAGCCACTTAACCCCTCTGGCCTCAGTTTCTTCATCTGCAAAACGTGGGTAAAAGGGCTCAAAAGATTTTTCTGAGGATTAAATGAAATCATATAGATAAGTGCCACAATTCAAGTGGTTCATAAATACTAGCTGCTAGTGTTAATATTATTAATCTGTTAAATAGCTCTATCTTCCTACCTAAGTATAGAAATAGAAGCAGCCTCATGGCCATCGGAGGTGCTTGGGAATCCACAGGCTGCAGTGGGTCCCATGGAAACTTACAGGCACACATACAGATAGAGACTTGGTTTATCCATCTATTCTTACTCAGTTGCACTGAGCTGTTACAAATGATTGGGAAGCAGTAATGACTATGACAACGTAGGCCTCATGATCCTAAACCCATGCACAGGTCACAGAAGACATCCCTGAGCCTCGGGCTAGGGCAAGAGCTCTGAGATACCTCCTGAGGAACCTGAGTTGGGTTGTCCGGAGTCTTGTCTTAACACATTTAGAAAGAAGTCCCGACAGCTCTCACTCAAGACAGAAACCTCTACATGGTAAAGATGCAAGTGAACCTACTAGCCATCTAAACTTACTCAATATTTACCTGAAATAAATAATACTGTCACTTGATTTCCATCAGAGGCTTTTTTTTTTTTTTTTCTATTCAGAGTCCCTCTTTGCCCTCCCTGGCCAGGCTTCTAACCTCTGTCTAATTATCAGCGAGGCTGCACTTTTAGAGAAAAGAACTCTTTTCCACCCGGGTGTGGTACTGAAAGGGGGAATGTTGTTGGAGAATTTTTCATAATGTTCTTTGGGAACAGTGTGCAAAACCCAAGCTGTATATTTAAACTTGATGCAGAGCAATATTGCCAAGGAGAAAAACAGTATTTTCACATGTGTTTGGAGCTCTAGGCACATTTAAATGTTGGGTAATTTCCTCTTAAGAGATTAAGATAATTCACTCACAATATAAAGATAAGAGAAATTGAAACCAAAGATTATTTCTGCCCCTTGTATGCCCCACATACACACACACACTGCACATGTAAATATATAACTGAGTCAGAATTTAAACACAAAGCTGCTTTTCCACAGGTCCTTCAGTGAAAGATCATTAATGAAAACGCATAAACACGAAAATCGGAAAAGCCTGTCTCTCTCCGCTCTCTTTTCTTAAGGCAGCAATATTTATCTTCCCAGCACACGTAAGGCATTTTCACTTCTGATCCTGTTGATTTCCTTTGCCCTCAGAACCTGATAATCATTTGATACAGGCATCCACCTTCACCCATTTATCATTTCACAACATTGACCTCATCTCTTGTCATGAAAAAGTTTGGGTAGTTTAAACCCAGATGGCTTGGCTTTCCCTATACAGAGAAGAATCCCTTCTACAGTTTTATACAGAATGCTGATCTGATTACAAATATTCGTCTATTTCTTTGGAGTTTTACATTCGACACCCTTCATGTATTTCCAACAGGGTTTTGCGGTGTGTAGTATTTAATCAAGAGTTTGCCAAAAGTGATTGGCATGTAAAAAAAAAACCCACAAAAACTCCTTAACAAAAGGGTTGCTCTTTTTGAGTCTATTATTTCATCTCAGAAATTCTTATTCATATAACTTAATCTCCCCCATGTGGTTACTTACTAGTTCTTATCATTAACTATTAAGCTAAAATAAGTTGAAACAAATTCTTCTTGTTGTTGTTGTTTTTTCTTTTAATCTGCTGCTACTGCCAGGGTAAACTAAGCAGCTGACAGCCAAGTGTTACTCTCCATTAGGGATTGACTGTCCTTCCTGACTCATGCTTCCAAATCAGACATTTAATAAAGACTGTTGTTGAGAGTTTAGGCCAAAACAGGCAAAGAAATCCCAGATTACATCTTGTCCTTCTGTTTGTCCTTTATAACTGTCACTTCTGTTTTCCCTGGTCATACCTTATCACTGGTGAGATACCTAAATGTTATCTCCCCATTTTCACACTGAGCTCTGGGGACAGAATCAAGGCTGATGGCGCCTAGGATTTGATGGTAACAGCCATTCCTGGGAACAGACAGTACAAATGGTAATTACCACGGAGACAATGCCTTACAAAGTCCGCCTTAAATGTATTTCTGTAAAGATGATGTCAATGATAAGAATTCCCAGCCTGATGAAATGGAAATCGCCAAAGTCCATAAAACGCAGAAATTCAACCAAATTCAATTCACAAGCTATTTTGTAATGACTAAACACAATGTTTAAGATCTGGTTCTACTATTACATTTAATGGATTCACCTTGTCCCAGGAAGCAATTGGCTTCCCGAGACCTGGTCTCCCTACTTACCAGGCAGACGCACATTATACAAGGGTTGTCCGTAATGAACGGAATTTGGAGGACTTCACCTTCATTTTCACATTTTGCAACAGAACCTGAAAGGAAGAAAAAAATTAATTTGAACTTAGCTTAGTGGCATTATTACAAAATTAAAAATTTTTGCGCTAATCCTTTTTGACACAACTACCCAAATTTCAGAAATTCCTAATGAGTTTTAAGTGATCGCACTTACAAAAAAAAAAAAAAAGTCCACCCAACCCCCCCCCAACTATTCTAAATAGTTATATTTAAACAGGTTGAGGTTTTTTCTGATGACCTATAGATTTTTTTGTTGCTGTTGTTCTCATGGTTTAAGCACAGTTCTGAGTATTTCACTAGATCTTTGATAACACTCCTTTAGGAAGGCCTTTTGACACACACCCACATATGTCTCCCCCCCCAAAAAAAATTCAAATTGCCCATTAGGGCTGATTTTAAATTTGAACAAAATTCAGGACTGTGTCAATGCCCAGGCCTTTATATGAATCTGCCTCTTATTGTCTTGAATTGAAATCACTTCTTGAAATACAATCTTCTTTCCTCTTCTCTGAGAAATTGACTCAATATTTTCTTTTCTGCACCAGGTGTCAGTAAAGTATGTCCTTCGGAATAGCAGCTGAGGTCTTCACCTGCCTGAAAACATATAATTACTATATCCTGCTATTATTGCCTTTTTAAAATATGATAGTTTCTTTAAATTCAAGGTCTGAAGAGCAGGGGCTTTCAAAAGCACGCCTAGCACATAAGATATAAGGGAACCCTAGAGAGTCAGCGGGATGCGTAGAAAACGGTGCAAATGTTTCCTTAATTGTGTAAGAGGAGAAGAGACCAAAATAAGGCTTGAGGAAAACATTTAAAATAAATAAAGCGATCTTTAAAAATTCCGATAGAACCATCTCTATCACTATATTGACGTCAACATCCTCTCAGCCCTCCACCCCTTAACCTATTCACTGCCTCCCACCCCTGAACCGCACGGGCTCTGCTTCATCCCCACCGGCCAGAGATGGGCAGGCGCCTAGGTGCTCGCTCCGCACCCTCCCATCCCCGGGGCGAGCCAGCGCCTCCTCGCCCAGGTACCAAGCCAGCGTCTGGGAGGGCTGGTCCCTCCCGCCCCCTCCCCTACCTGTCAAGAAGGAGGAAGCCAGAGACATGGGGACCCCCGAGCAATTGAGCAGCAGCAAGACGCAGCAGGTAATCCCAGGCGAGCGCCGGCAGGGACGCTCAGCCAGAGCCCTGACGCCGGAGAACCAGAGCATCGTCACCTGGAGGGAATCCTGGGCGACTGCAGGTCCCGCGCCGCCGCCTCTGCCCCGCTACGGCCGCTCGCAATCAAAAAGGGCTCTCAGCCGGCGAGTCAGGAGACAGTCCGCGAAGGAGGGAGGCGGGCGCCCGGGAGCAGGGCGGGGGGGGGAGCGGGGGGGCGGGGGGGCGGGAGCGAGAGGCGAGGGGTGGGGGGCGCCCGGGAGGAGGGGTCCTGCGGCCAGGCTCCTCCAATGCGGTTTTTTAGAGGGAGTTGCTCCCCAGGCTTAGTCGTCGGCCCCTCCACGCCAGATAGGGGGCCGGGAGGAGGGGGTGTCGGAGCCGCGGGAGATAGGCAGACAGGACTGGCAGCGCCGCCCGCTGCGCACCGCGGCTCCGCCGCCGCCCGGCTGCAGCCACGGCCCGGGGCGCCGCTGCCGCCGCGCGCGTCCTGCACTCCAGCTCTCCCCACCTCCTGCCGGCCTCCAGCTCTCCGCCCGGCCGGCGCGCGCGCTCGCTCCCGCGCCCAAGACCGGGGCGCCCCGGGCGCCTCCTGGAGCCCGCTGGGGGCGCCCCGGCGCAGGGGCCCCGCGCCCGGGACACGTCTCAGCGGGGCGTCCAGCCCGCTCCCCAGCGCCTCGAGGGAGGCCACCGTCCCCGGGGCGCAGGTCTGAGCGGGGCAGGCGTGTCGCCACCGCCCCACGCGTTCGGTGCCTCCTCCCCTTCCCCGGGGACCCTCCCCTAAGCCAGGATGCCGCACCACCCTTGCTCACTTTCGGGCGCCCCCATTCCAATACAGGAGCATGAAGTGGGGCTTAGGCGTGCCTCACCACCCCTACTCGCTCCCAGTTCCCCGGCTTTGGGAAGGAGCGACAAACGGGGCGCAGGAACGGGGAGACGCAACTTTTCACTCTCAGCTTTGCTTCCCTCGGGGCGGGTGTACGACCGCGGACTCGCGGGCGGAGTGAACCGAGGGGTCCAGACTAGCGCCCCGTGGTTATGTGCCCGCGCGTCCCGACACTGCGGAGGACAGAAGGAGAAACCAAACGCAAGGTCGTTTAATAAACTCACGGAGGCAAATGCCTTTCGCCCTGAAAAAAAGAGAAACAGTCGCTCCGAGTCTCCTCCCTTTCAACCCCTGACGGACGGGGCGGGGAGACGCTGTTGGACTAATCATTCATTCACCCGCGGAAGAGGGGGGGGGCCGCCAGTCGGCAACCCCGCGGGGGCCTCCCCCGCGGCCTCCGCAGCTGGGAGTCCTGTCGCCGCCGCTGCCCGCGCTGCGCCCTTCCCGCCTCGCAGCCGCGCGTGTCGGGGTGTCAGACCCTACGCCCCGCGCATCGTCCCGGCGGAATCGCGGTCTCCCGCCGCAGCCGTGACACCCTCTGCTCAAAGGGAGGTGCTGCGGGGAAAAGGAGAATTTTTGTAACCAAATTATGACGGCGCGCGGGAATTAGGGGGTGTTTGGGAAGTGCTGGGACCTAATCATCAGTAGCCCTCGGAGCGGACCGTGGGTCGCCGGCTTCCAATCCCCAGAAGTGGAAACTGGGTCCCGGACACCCATCCTCCAGGGCGGGCCTGGGTGAGTCCAAAGTGCTGTCACTCACAAGCCGAGCACGTTTCTCAGCAGGACGCGCTTCACAGTCTCCCGGGAAAGTGGTTGCCTGTAGGCTCAGAGAGTGTACCTTTGAAAATAAATGAGTCTGTTTGGTGACACAGTCTAATTTCGTCTCAACCCCTCCCCGCTTGGGGGCGGGGTGTTTACATGTTTTCATTTTTTCAAATGCTTCGGAGGTTTTAATTAATGCAGCATTACCAGCCTCCCTGCGCGCCAAGGAGCTGATAGGAGTTCAGTGCTCTGACGTGGGAAAAAAAATAAGAGACGGGAAGGCTGTCATTAGCTTGGCACGCTCCATTTCCTTCTCAAAACAGATTTTTAGGGTAAAACTTAAATGAAAAGAGATGAAAGATGATGTGCCGTTGGGTTTTTTCCCCCCAAATAACCACCACCGCCAGGCAGCTTCTTGAAAATCAGAGTGTGTTTAATGTATTGACAAATCATCAAGAACGAAAACGTGCAAAAAGAAAAAAAAATCCAACTTTTCCTCCCAATCCATAGTGACTGATTAAAAAATAAACTAAAAACTTAATACTATAGGTAAGTACCATCAGACGACACCACTATCTCCTCTACCTAAAAAGATTCTCTCTGCAGGAGTTTTTTTAGATAAAGATGTTAAGAGTGACTTAAGGAAAATGGACTACTTTTTTTGCCCTTAGCTTCTGCAGTAGATTGTGACTAACACACTATGGAACTGCAAGGCAATTGAAAAGGGCACGTTACTCACTCTGACATGCCTTCCCTGGCACCAGCCACACTTCCTCAAGGGTTGGCAGGACACAATTCTTTCTGATGGAATCTAGGTGTGTGTGGCATTTCCCTACCCAGGGGCATGGTGCTTCCGGGTGCACTGGAACGCACCCTGAAGGTACAAATTCCAACACCACCTGGAAAACCCTCCTGTCTACCTGGAAGTTTATGAATCGGGAAGATGTACAGAAGCCTTTGACAAACCTGTCTGTCTTCTAATCAGCTGCGGCCAGTGAGCTCCTGTGCTGCCTTCTGAGCAAATAAGCCCCACTTCTGAAAGCACCCTTCTCCCCAGAGGGTGGTCAGGATGTTTCTGTGTGCACCCATTGCCGTTGCCGCCACCCCTCCAAGCGGCTGCTTCCACAGCTGCCAGGTGGTCCCGGTCTACACAAAACTGAGGCATTCTGGAGTCAAAAACAATGAAGGGGTAGGACCACGCTGAAAGACACACTGGTCTACTTTCACTTTTAAAATAAATGGTGGTACTATCCAAACCCAAAATGCTCTTGACTGAAATAAAAATGTGAACAAAATGTGTTTGGCTCTGTTTATGACACTTTTCAAGGAGGAGGGGGTCATAGGGCCCAAAGACCACATTTAACTTGGGGCCTGTCCCCATCTCAGACACAGCACCGTCTCTTCCTCGATAGAGTGAAATATAGAACCTAATTAGACTCAAAGGGAACCAGGTCTGTACAGGCAAGAGAAACTCTTCTTACCTCCTTGCAAAACTATGATGCTGAATTTGCACTGAAAAATCTGACTGGATATAGAATTCCATAACGTGGATTCAAAGCTACTTCAAGAGAAATAGTGTCACCCTGGCTGGTGTGGCTCAGTGGATTGAGTGCTGACCTGTGAACCCAAAGGTTACTTGTTTGATTGCCAATCAGGGCACATGCCTGGGTTGCAGGCCAGGTCCCCAGCTGGTGGGGGGAGGGGGGGTGTGAGGGGCAACTGATCAGACATCGATGTTTCTCTTTCTTTCTCCCTCCCTTACTCTCTCTCTAAAAGTAAATAAATAAAATATTTATTTAAATAAATAAAATGAAAAGAGAGAGATCGCATCAAGCCATTTTTAAAAAATAAACAGGAGGAAATAGACCTTTCCCAAAGGCACCCTGATAATCATGATACCAACCACTAGGGAGGACCGAAAGAATCCCATAAATGTGTAAGGGTTTTACTTTATTAAAGATACCAGGCTGGGCATTGTAGACTTGACAAGGGAAGCTCAAGTAGACTTGAGCTTTACTGTCTCCTAAGGGAGACACAGTATGTTTGTATATGAATGCAGAGCAAGGTAGGAAGTAAATGTAAGAGGAAGAGGTAAGGTGCCCTGCCTCCGAAGCTTAAAGAAAGACAACATTAAGCTTCCTGGAGGAGGTGGCACAGGAGCTAAACCTTGAAAAGGGGGAAGCTTTCGTAGGGGGAAGGTCAAGCTGGGAACAATGGGGAGCACCAGCAGGAAGACACTGGGTTTGTGAAGAGAATGGGGAGCAGTCATGCCTTGGGCCCTCTCTGTGGGCTGAGCAGGAGCTGGGGGAAGGCGGCAGGGTCGCAGGGGCGGGGGGGCGGGGGGGGGTGATAATGGAGATAGGAGAGGCAGCCCTGAAGGATCCCCCACCCCCCGCCCCCGCCCTCATACCATGAGCAACAGAAGGTTTACCATGGAGTGAGTTCCTAGTTCTTTGAAAACAACCACTACCTTTATTTAGAACGGAATTGATTTCTGTAGGTGTATTCAGCACTATGCACACTTCCTCGTTACTCATCGCCACACTGGAGAGCACCATTTCCGCCCACAGCCGAGCACCCGCTGGCCAGTGGAACAGGAATGGAAAGTGACTTCAAAGCGGGGACATGCTCTTTCTTCTGCTCTTCTTTCTTCTGATGGGTGGAATACGAGTGTAAATAATGAAGCAAGCACCTTGACCCATAAAAAGACCTTGAGAAGAAAGCTTCAAGGACCTGGCAGAGCCAGAACAGAGAAGAACAGACTCCGATACCGTGAAGGCAACATGATCCCTGGGCTCACTGTCTCTGACTTTCCGGAACAGGAAGGAAAAATAGCGCCTATCTTATTGCGGTTCTTTGTTAGTGTTTTTCCCCCACCTTGTTACCTTCAAATAAATCTTTAGCACCAAAGAAAAAGTGCCCAATATAAAGATGAATATATTAATTCATTAATCTATTAATGAAAGATAGAAGCACTTTCAGAGCCAACAACAAATCTAAGATTTCAATCATCTATGGTCCATGTTCACATGTGTCATGAGTTTCAGGAAACTTAGGGGAAATTATAATATCCTTTCTTTAAAAAAACAACTTTAAAATATTTGTACACCATATTGGTAGCAGCATTATTCACAACAGCCAAAAGGCAGGAGCACCCCAGGGTCTGCCGGCAGGTGAGTGGGTAAACGAAACGTGACCCATTCAGACAGTGGAAATGAAAGCAAGTCTGGCGTGTGCTGCAACCCGCACGGACCTGAGGACATCATGCTACGTGACATAAGCCAATCACAAGAGGACAAATACTTGTGGTCCCACTTGTATGAACCCTCCAAAGCAGTCAAATTCATAAGAGACAGGAAATAGAATGGCGGTTGAGAGCAGCTGAGGGAGGACAGAACAGGGAATGAGCGTTGAGTGGGAATAGAGTTCTCGTTTTGCAAGGTGAACAGACTTCTGAAGGCCGCTGGCACAGCTCCGTGATGTGCTCAACACTAG